GGGGAGCGGCGCGGAGGTGCGTGTCGGTGGGGCAGGGCTGCGTTCCCGCAGCCCCGGAGAGGAAGGGACCGGGATAGGGGCTGGAGCCGGGACCGGGCGGAGATTGCTCTGGGCAGGGCCGCCCCACGATCSCGCCGGCGGGCTTCTCCTGACACCCCAGAGCCGGGGGCGCGGGCTGAAAATCTATTACCCCGCTGCCATTTTGTTAAGTGTTTGCTCCCCGTTGTGACCCTGCCACTTTATCTGTTGATTTTTATTTTCTGAGTGCATGTTGCCCATATGTTACTCTAATAGTTGCTATAATTCTTGAGCAATAGGGCTCGTATTTTACTGAGCTGAATTAAAAAGAATGCACTTTAATAAAAAACCCGAGCAATACACTAATGGCTTGACATTGATGTATTTGCATAAAGATGAATTATATGGGCTCGCTTGACACGACTTTTAATAAATGATCGAGGACGTTATTACAGGGATGCACTTGGGTGTGCGGAAGCGGGTTATTGCCGCGGGGCCAGTGCCAGGCGCCCCCCGCAGCCCGCCGGCCCCGGAGGGCAGCGCGGGCACCGACCGGCCCCACCGAGCGCCTCCCGCAAGCCCYGGGCCTCCGGGCAGGGCTTGAACCTCAGGGGGATGCGGAGAGGAGCGGTGCTGCCCGCTCGAGCCCTTGTATCAACAACTTTATTGTTCTTTACCACCCGCGGGTGCGGTGCGGGTGCGGGGTGTCCGCTGCTCCCCGCGGCAGTGCAGCCATCGCCTCCTCGCCGGCAGATGTTTGCATCCCTCACGGAGACTTGTAACCGCTGTTGGAGACAGCTGGCAAACGCCGCCAGAAACGTGTATCTGGGAAATACCTATCGGTGCAGAAGGTAAAGGCGGAGCTGCAATTAGGAGGGAGCAGTTCGTCTCACTTTTTAATTTGYGGGTAGCGGCGCCGGCTCCGAGCAGCGCATCCGCAGCAAGAGCCCGTGCCTCTGCCAGCGGCCCCGATGCGGGAAGGGGCTCGGAGGGTCCGGGCCGGGGGTGAAAGCCCATCACCCACATTTTAAATAAATCCAGGGGTTTCTGGCCTGCGGAACGACTCGTGTCCCGAGGGAAGGGTTGCCTAAAGCCAAGCTTCGGGGCGGCTGTCAGGGATACAACGAAAATCTTACACGAAACAACATCACGGCAGCAAACGAAGGGAGAGAGGAGGGAAAACGGTGTCTATGTAATATGGGAAGCGTTAAAAATTAATAGCACTGAGAGGTGATGAGCGGTAACGGGATTTCAGGTGCTCATAACAGGAGACCACGCKTGAGGAAAGAGGTGGGACAGATCATCACTCGCTGGATGGTCGCGCTGCTCCCGCGTGGACCCCAGGCTGGGCATCCCTAGGGCAGGGTGTAGGCATTGCCTTGCCTGCTGTCTGCGCCCGGGGGCTCTGGATAGGATGTGCTGTTGGAATGAGAGAGCCCGAAGGCCTCGGGGCTGTGACAGCGCTGGTGTAGGGCCTTGTTAGGGACTGGGTGATGGTGGCCTGCGGTCTGGATTTCCYCCCTAGCTCACACACCCCGAGTAGCCCCTTCATCACCCCTCGGGCGGAGAGCTCTTCCTTTCCCCCTCCCTGCGGCTGCTCCCGCCCTCCCGCCGGCCGTAGGCGTCCCCTTGTAGCCCTGTGACACGGCGGTGCGGATCCTGCCCGCGTCCATATGTCCCGCATCCATATGCATGTCTCCCACAGGAACCAGCTGCCGGCCGGGAGCGGGGTACGGGCAGCGGGGTGGCCCCTGGCCCCGCTTTTGCTCCCTGTACCTTCCCTCCATCTCTSCGCGCAGTCCCCAGGTGTCCACGGCTATTGCAGGGCACGGAGTGGGTCCTGCGCCTGGGGCGCTTCTGCGGGGGAAGAAAAAGTTTTCCGTCTGCCCACGGTGATTGTCACTGGGGCTGGAGCGGGATCGCAGCGGTTCCCTTTGTGAAATACCTCCAAAAAGTAGAGGCGTTGGAAAAGCAGGGAGGGTGTTTTGTGTACCCCGGGTTTGCACAGACAGCAACTTCTCCGGCGGTATCTTCTGTAACCCAGAGAAGGCACATGGCAGGGACTGAGGCAGASCCAACCCAGAAACAGCCGCCTCTATTTCCCCTGAGCCGGGAAATCCCAGAAACAGTCGCCTTTTTTTTTCCACTGAGCCTGGAAATCCCGCGCACGCACGCAGAAGGGAGCGGGGTTTAAAACCGAGGGCTCTGTGACAGAAAGAAGGGAAAACTAAAATCTGTGTGCGAAGGGAGCTGTCGGGACCGGCCTGCGGTGGTCTCTCGCCTCTTAGGCAGGGACCGCCCGTCCCCCTCCGCGGCCGCGCAGCCGGAGCCCGCCCGCTGCCCACGCGTGTGCGCCGCCGCTTTCTCCCCGCGGGGGTTTCGGCCCGGGCCCGAGTGCTGGGCGGCTGCCGGGGAGCGGTCCTTCCCTATGGACATGGCTGTGCAGCACTTTTTTAATGTCGTTATCGCGGAGTTTATGCAGTTCCTCCACAAATTCCTGCCTGCTTGAAGGACTGAGCCGAAACCTCGGCTGATCTCCGCTGGGCCCCCGAGCACGGGGGGAACCTCACGCCCCGTGAAGCCCGCTGACATTTTGTCTTCTAATTGTTCACCGCKCTGTCCGTGGCAGCGATCCCGAGGTTAGCTATTGAATCTCTTCCTAAAAAGTCCTTTCCTGGAGGAGAGGGAGCCCAGCCGGCTTTGGCTTCCAAAACATGCCCCGAAAAGGGGGGCCGTGAGCCCGTGTGAATCCCCTGCTCTTTCTTCCAGCGCCCCAGACAAAACCAGCCTAACCAAGCGGGCAGCGCTGGGCTCTTTTCCCTGCGATTCCACTTGGACGGTGCCAACTGCAACTGGTGGCCAGCTGGGTCTCTGTGCAGAAGTAAATTAACTGGAAAGCCTCAGTCGGTGCTGCAGTGAACTGGAAAAGGGGCCGGGGACCGCCGGGGCGGGCGGCACTCGCAGCAGCCCGGGGGCACACGGGAGGGCGCGGGCCGGGGCCGAGGCTGGGGCCGGGAATCGAGGGAGTGGGGGTGACAGGGTGGTGGCCGAGGGAAGGCGCTGCGGGCATGCGGGCGGTCCCATCCCGCGGGGACCCCCAGCCGGGCTCCGGCGAGCAGCGGCCGGTCCCCCGTGCGGTGGTCTGGAGTCCGCGGTRTTTTGATTTCTCTCCCGCCGCCCCGCAAAACCCGCGGGGAAATCGTGACGGCGAGAGCCGGCAGGGCCGAGTCAGCACTCTGGAAACCACCGGCCTTTCCCTTCCTGCCTTTTAAACGAGTCGGGAAAGATGGGGGTAGGAATGGGAGTGTCGGTGGACGATGGGCAGCCCCGACACCTCGGCCCGGGAGAGCCCGGGCAGCCGCACCGAGGCAGCCGCAAAGCGCCGGGCTCGCTCCTTCCTCCCGGCCCAGGCATTGTCTAAGCTGAAAGAAGAGTAAAACCCTGCTCCACTTTTTTTTTTTTTTTTTTGTCTTTTTTTGAAGATTATTCCCAAATAGAATACTATTTTTTTTTTCCTTCAGAATAGCTGGCCTTTTTTGCTCTCATGTCAGTGATTCTGTTTGCATTGCTGGTCCTCGGGAAGAAAAAAAAAGCGATTGTTTCTGGACTGTTTAGATATGGAAATGATCTCGTCAGATAATGAGTTTCAATTTAAACCAGTTGTTTTGGTATTGGGTCTATTTGTTCTAGACGCTTAGCCGCGSTTTTATTATATTCACTGTTTTCTTCTTGGGGAGAGACTTTCTTTCCCATAATAATGGTAACCCTCTGCCGTTAATAAACGCCTGCGTCGCCCGCCTCTGAAAAAGTTGAAACAGCCTAATTTAGACTGAGCCGAACCGCTCCAGTGGTCGGGTGGAAAGTGCCTGTCCTCTCTCGTCCCAAAACAACCAACGGATTATTTTATTTGTATCCTTCTTAAACTCCCACAGCAAAGCGGACAACTTCCATTCATTAAAACAAAAAAAAAAAAAAAAAAAAAAAAAAAAAAAAAAAAAAAAAAAAAAAAAAAAAAAAAAAAAAAAAAAAAAAAAAAAAAAAAAAAAAAAGAAAACCCAACCAAACAACGAAAATCTTCCAACAAACCCAACACCCACAAAACCAAAATCCTTACTACTAAGATTCAACAAAAGACCCTGAAAATTATTTTCTACCGTTGTTTCATTATTTAATCTCTGATGAGATGAGATTATCTGTACCCTTTAGTGAAGGCAGTAGACGTCTTTAAACAGGTTTAATTGATTTATCGTTTTGTTGTTTTGTTTGTTTTTGTTTTTTTTTAACAGAAAGTGCATTACATTTTACTGGTCTTGCAAAGCGTTTTTCTTCTCTTTACAAACCGAATTATTTTTAATATAAATTAATAAATGTTAAGATGCTATATCACGATATATCATCGTTATTAGCTTTAAAAAAAAAGTAAACAATTTACATTCTCTAGTATTCCGTATGATACAAAAGAAAACACACTTTAAATTCAAATACAGCAACTAAATGAATTTTATATTTTGACTGACAGTGGTTGTGACAATTCCCACCAGCTACTTTTTCAACACGCGGTTGATTGGAAACGGTGTAAATGAAAGCAAACTCTGTCCCTCCGCCCTCTCCCACCCCCCCTCCCCTGCACGACGACCGCAACAGAAAGTGTTTCAAAAATACTAATAAATAGCACGCGGGGCCGCTGCAGTTTCGGCCCGAGGGAGGGACCGGTRGCGGCCACGGCGGCTTTTTCCTCGGCGACCCCGCTGCCGCCGTCTCGGGGGCTCCTGCGGTGCCCCCGGTGCCGGGGAGCGCGGGGCGGGCGGGGCGGCTGCGCCCCCGGCCCCCGCTGTACAAAAAAAAGAAGGTATTTTACATTTTAAATATTCACAGTAAGTAACGCCTATGGTCGCGGTGACTCACGGTTTATTTACAAAGAGCCGGCAAGACGCGGCCGCCGCACCGCCGGGAGCGGGGCCGGGGGTCGGGGCAGCCCCGCCGCTCCCCTCGCCCGCCACCCTACAACAACACGCGGAGACGGGGACAGGGGGTGCCCGCCGGGGCCCGCTGCCCGCAGTCCTCTCTGCTTCCCCTCCGGCGTCTCATCCTCCTCCCGGGCGCGTAGAGTCTAGAAAAATAGATCTGTACATCTCCGAAAGCGGCGGCGGGCGAAGCGGGCTAGACGGAGGCCTCCCCCTCCGGGGGGTGCAGMAGCAGCCCGCCGCCCCCCGGCTTGTGTTTCTTCAGGAGCTGCGTTATCTTCTCGTCGTCCGAATTGGGGTCCAGGGGCTTGTTGTAGTCGTCGTCCTCCTCCTCGTTCTCCGAGGCGCCCTTCAGCCGCTCCGTCTCCGAGTCCTGTTTCTTCTTTGCCGTGGCCATCTCCGCCGCGTGCTTCTTCCGCCACTTGGTCCGTCGGTTCTGGAACCAGACCTGTCCCCGAGGCCACCGTCACCATCACCATCACCGGCACGGCCACCCGCGGCGGCTGCACCGGGCCGCTCCCACCCCGCTGTCCCGCGGGTCCCCATCCCCGGCGTGCGGCAGCGGCTCCCGCGATTCCCCCGYAACGAAAGCGGCCGAGCCCCGCGGCATCGCGCTGCCGGCAGCCGCACAACCCGGCCCGGCGTGGGCCGACAGCCATCCCCAGCTCCCCCGAGGCCCGTGTCGGGCCCGGGCCGGTCCCTGCCATCCTGCCCGGGGCGAGGAAGCACACRTTTTGGGCCGATTCCTTTCCCAGCCCCCCTGCCCCGCCAGATGTATTTACTCTGCGGCAGGGCGCTGCCAGAGGAGGGGGGCATTTTCATTGTAGAAGCTGCAATAATTTATTCGCAGCCATCGGGACGTATTTGCAATGACAAAGGAGGCTCTGCGGATCAGACTGAAAGCGTGAGCACCGCCGAGGGGCCCCTCTGGCCGAGTCCGCGGAGCAAACGCTTCTCTGCATGTTCTCGGGGAGCTCCGCCCGGTCTCCCAACCCCTCACATCTCCGCTTTGCCCAAAGCCTAGTGTTTTTAACCAAAACGTAAGAGTCCGGGTGCGACACTGGACGGCCCAACAACCCCCTTGTCCCGGCTTTCCCAGCACGCTGGCCACCCCCATGGTATCCAGCTAAACGCACTGGGCTTCTCAGTCTTGCTAGGGTTTGTTTGGTTCATTTTTGCTGGTTTTTAATACSCTCTAAAATAACCTTCTCGGCCCCGCAGTAAAGCAATAAGAAGAGAAGCGCCAGTGGCTGCCGGGGAAGCCCTCACCGTGTGCCCGCGGGCTCGGCCACGCCAGCCCGCAGCATCTCCGGCCGGTTCAGAAGGACCCCGTTTCCGCGGCGGGGCCCTTTTGTTCCCCWCTCTTCCAGCCCCGCACCATTCGGTGCGTGAGCCGCTGCTCTCACCTTGACTTGGCTCTCCGTCATCCCCAGGGAATAGGCCAGCCGGGCTCGCTCCGGGCCCGCCAGGTATTTCGTCTGTTCGAAAGTCTTTTCCAGAGCGAAAATCTGCTGGCCAGAAAAAGTGGGTCTTGTATGTTTTCTCTTTCCGTCCTTATCCAGCAAAATTGAGCCTTGATCTGGCGAAGGGAGGGGGGAGAGAAAGGGAAGGCAGGGACAGACAAGTTAATCTACGGATTTGGGAAAGTGCTTCGCTCTCAAGCGGCCCCAGGGGACGGAGGGGTCTCTACGCGGGGGGTGCGTGTGTGAGAAAATTACTGCTTGAGCAAGGCTCTGGCCTTTCGGCTCCCCCTGATTATTTTTCCTTTAACGATMAAAA